ATAGAGGGAGTTATTTTGTCTTAAGAAGCTATAAAAAGGACAGTAACAAATCCAAATAAGTAGAAAGAAATATCAAAGAGCAAAAATCAAAGTGAAAACACATCAGCAAAAGAAAAAGAAAGCTAAAAATTGGTTCTTTGAGAACAGTTTTAGGGCTCAGTAGCATGCACTTTAGCATCTGGGGGGCTCACAGCTATTTGGGAGGCTGAGACAGGAGGATCCCTTTAACACACAAGGCTCAGACTAGCCTAGGCAACATACTGAAACCTCATCTCAAACATATAAAATACAACTAAGTAAGTTCTTCGTAACTTGCTCAAGAAAATGAAGCACAAAATAACAACAGGGATCAGTGTAGAGGTGTGTATCACTACCAAGCTTATAGGCAATAAAACGATAAAATGTTAATACTATAATTAACATTAAACAAAAATTTGGTATCTTCAATAAAATAGATAAAAATAACAAAAGTGACACAAGAGGAAAAAGAAAATCTTACTAGCCTTGTATCTATAAAAGAAATTCAACTCAATATCAAAAATCTTCCTGCAATTCCAAACTCAATGGTTTTATTGGTGAATTCCTTCAAACACTTAAGAAAGAAATAATACTAATCATAGACAAATTCCAAAAGCAGAAAAAGAACACTCAAAAAACAGAAGAAAAGGGAACATTTTATGAGGTTGGCATGACCCTAACACTGTACCAAAATCTGATAAACATATCCCAAAACTAGAAAATTACAGACCAATATTTTTTATAAATATAAAAACCCTTCACAAAATGCTAGCAAACCAAATGCGTAAGATATTAAAAGGATAAATATTTATGACCAAGTAGGGTTTATCCCAATGATGCCAGGTTGTCATAATATTCAAAAATTACTACCATACTAATTATACCATATTAACAGAATAAAGAAGAAAATGCAGACGACTATTTCAATAAATGCAGAAAAACTATACCAATTCTCAGCAAACTAGGAAGAAAAGGGAATATATATTCAGTCTAATAAAGGACATTCACGAAAACCTAAAAATAGTATAACAGCTAATGGTAAAATACAGAACATTTTCCTGTAAGATGTACAACAATGGAAGAAGGATTAGTTTCATCACTTCTATTAAATGGTGACATAAAGATTAAAAAGAAGCAAAACTCTGCTTGCTGCTGGCATGACTGCTTATGTAGAAAACTGTAAAGAATCTACAAAAAGTTATTAGAACTAATACAATGAAATTGTGTTCATGGAATATAATGTTAATACAAATTGACTGTATACTTACATAATTACTAGCATAAAGTTGGAAAATGAAGTTTACATAATTTCATCTATAATAACAAAAAATATGGACTACTTTGGAATACATTTTGAAAGGTACACAACTTTTCCAATGACAGCTAAAAGCACTGCCAAGAAATTAAAGATCTAAATAAATGAAGACATATACTATATTCACAGACAGAAAAGTTCAATAGTGTTAAGATGTCAATTCTCCTCAAATTGATCAATAGGTAATAACAGAATGCCAACTCAAAATTCCATCTGGCTTTTATACTACAATATAATTTGAAAAGCTGATTATATACATTTATGTGTAAATGCAAAGGACCTAGCTAATAAAAGTAACCCTGTAGTAATGAAGACACTTGATACTGGTATAAGGACTCACAGATAAATGTAACAGAACAGAAAGTCCATAAATGGATCTATTAATCTTTGACTTTAAAAGGTATCAAAGCAATACAATGAGTAAAGTCTCTTCAAAAAATGATGCTGGAACAGCTAGATGTCCATATAGAGAAAAACAAAATAAAATCCCAATGGTGGAGGGTTGCTAGGAAATAAGCCCAGGGCCTTTGCACTGAGCTACACCTCCAGCCCTTTTTAAAATTTTGAAATAAGGTCTCATTAAGTTACCCAGACCAGAATCAAACACGTGATCCTTCTGCCACAACCTCCCAGACTACCGGGATTACACATATGCATGACAATATCCAGCCAAAAAACCTGATTACAGTATTTTAATCCCATACACAAAAATGTATTAGGGTTTAGAAGTTTAACTGTGCAAGATAAAACTATAAAGTTTGTAGAAGAAAACAAGAGACTATATTCATGAAGGACACAGAAAAACAAAAGCATAAAAAATTGATAAATATACCTCATCAAAATTTTAAAATGTGTACTAATTAAAAGCCATCCTGATGAAAATGAGCAGGCAAGCCATAGTATGGGAATAACTGCTCTTATTCAGGATAAAGAATTCCCAGAACTTGATAAGAAAAACACAACTCACTTTGTAAAATGGGAACATGACTTGGGCAATCATCGAAACATATACATGGCCAACACTCTCACGAAAAATAGTCAACATTGTTTTGTTCCCAGGGAAATGCAAGTGAAACCACTAGATTGGTTAAAAATGGATGATATAAAATCTGGGAGAAAATATGGAAAAACTACAACTCATATATTTTAGGGTTGAGTGTAAAATAATACAACCACTCTGAAAAAGATCTGCTAATTCTCTAAAAAACTCATACACAAAAAAAACTGTATATATATGTTCCTTATAGCCCAACTATTCTTCAGCTAGATTTTACAAAGGTAGGTGAAAACCTATGCCAACACAAATGCTTGCAGCTTCATAATAACCAAAGCATGATAAATCCTGGTTGTGCATCAGTAAGAAAGCACAGCATAATCACACAACAGATATTGTAGTCCACTCATAAAATGGAATACTTCTCAACAATATAAAGAATATGATGCATGCAATAATGTAGATGAAATTCAAAATACACTGATTCAAAGAAGCTTTGCACAAAGAGGACATATTGCATGATTATATCTATCTGTTGTTATAAAACAGGCAAAATTAATCTATAATAAAAAAAATAGAACAGTAGTCAATCCTCTCTTCCCTCCCCAAAGAGCGTGAGGTTACTTTGTGGGGTGATATATCCTAATAAGGGTCTGGGTAATTAGGTGCATGCATCTGACAATACTCAGTGAATGCTATGCTTAAGATTTGTGCACTTTATATATAAATAAGATAGTTAACATAGTTATACTGCTAATTTCTCTTAGTTCATTAAAAAGAAAGTTTTGTGCTAATATTGTTTGGACAATATCTCATGCCTATATCTTGTACCTTCAATAACTACTCTGAAGATAAGAATACACAATGTATTAATTATTGTTATTCCCTTGTTACCTTATTTTGAAATTTTATGTTTTTTCTTCTTTTTAAAATAATAAAAAAAAAATCTTGTCTCAAATAAATAAATAAAAAGGGCTGGGAATGTGTAGTTCACTGCAAAGGCCCCGAGTTCAATCCTCAGTAGTGAAAAATTATAAAAAAAATTTTTAAAAATATTTTTGCACTTAATCGTTTATCAATCTTATCTCAAAAGAAACAGAGAGCCTGGAGATGTGGCTCAGTGGCAGAGTTCTTGCTTTGCATGCACAAGGCCCTGGGTTCGATCCCCAGTACCACACACACACAAAAAAAAAAATTTAAAAACTAAAAAAAATAAAAATTGAGTTTGTCAGAACATAAAGAAATTATTCAGCCAGGCATGGTGGTGCATGCCTGTAATACCAGCACTCAGGAGGCTGAGGCAGGAGAATCTTTGTGAGTTCAAGGCCAGCCTGGGCTACATAGTGAGTTCAAGGCTAGCCTGAACTACCCAGTGAGACCCTGTCTCAAAAAAAAAAAAAAAAAAAAGGAGAAATCCCTTAACTAATATAACTGAATTATAAACAAATACTGAAATCTAATCAATGATATATTTAAGATTGAATTATTTAAGGGTGAAATATTTAAAGAGAAATGTACTAATGTATATAATTTACTGTATACCCTATTAAGCAGTAAGAGGAATTGATAGATGGTTAGGGAGATGGATCAATGGTCAGAAAGTTGATAAAGCAAATAAATACAGTAAAATGTTATGATAGTAATTACACATGGATATATAGGCTTTCACTATAAAACTTTTCAATTTATTTGAACAGTTGAAAAATGTCTTAACAAAACAGTGGAGGAAAAAGTTTGAGAATGGGATTTTTTTGTTTGTCTTTTTGAGACAGGGTCTCGCTATGCAGTTAAGGTTGGCCTTGAGCTCACTTTGTAGCCCAGGTTGATCTCGAATTTGCAACGATCCTCCTGCCTTAGCCTCCCGAATGCTGGGATTACAGGATGCACCACCATGCCCAGCTGAGAATGAGATATTAGAAGAGACTGGCAAGCCTAAAGGCTATAAAACAAGAAGCAAAAATTTTAACAATGCACCATACTCCCCAGGGATCATGGGACTCCTGTCTAGTAAATCTGTCAGTTTGGAAGGGTATAATCTTATAATTAAGTTGAATGAAAAAAAACTAAGGTGAATGAACCCAATTATCTCAGCTTGGCACTGGTCAATTAAGATAATTAACCTAGCTCCCCTTATTCTGAGACTTATGCTCAATAAGCAGCTTTCCGGTGATCATAATCTAGCTTCATGCAATGATTTTTTGTAGAAGAGAGACAGAATATACTGGCCAATCAGCAATTACCTGGTCACTGAATTTTTTACATTTTAAAAATAAGTTTAACAAAAGCAAAATCATTTCTGTAATAGACTTACAGGTTTAGACTGATAATGTACACTAAAATCTCACTATATCAAAATCAAAGCTGACTGCTGAAATGAGAAAACTGATTATAAAAGCAAGTAATGACTTAACTCCAACACAGATTTTTAAGGCCTTAGAATCAAGAGAGCTTACTGAGACCATGGTGCTTGTTAGCTATCATTTTCTCATTATTCTTTGCTTAGACAGTGTACTAATGCCTTCCACGACTCCTTTCAGATAGAATCATCCCCACAAAGAATGTTTTAACAGGTTAATAAGAAAGAAGGTTGGTAATGTTCTCTGCAATAAATCCTCATTAGAGCAGCCAAGCAGACAAACAGATCATATTCAAAAGAAATTCATGTTTAATTACCTGTATGCCCTCATTACAAACATCTGGGAGAGAAGTCTGAGATGCTATTTCATATTTTTGCAAGGCTGGTTTATTTAGAAATTGGCTAATTTCTCTGGATTTTTGCTGGAGTTGATCTAAGGAAAAGAAAACAATAGGAGAAATATTTGCTTCAAGCCTGAAACTTAATGAGCTATGACCTAAAGATATACCATACACTATTTCTTAATTCAGTTTATTTAATTCAAGTTATGGTGCCAATGACAATTTTTTAAACTGTTTACATGCTCTCAAGGACAAAAGCGCACCTCAAAGGAAAAATAGCAACAACAGAATAGTATTATTCAGGTATTTAAATAAAAGAAATCCTGGCATTTGCGGCAAAATAGAGGAAACCAGAAGTCATCATATTAAGTGAAATATGCCAGACACAGAAAGACAGGTACTAGATGTTCTATCTCATATGTGGAAACTAAATAAAGATCCTTCTGAAAGTAGAACAGTGATTATAGGGGCTGAGAAGGATATGAGGTGAGGGGTGGAGGAAGGGTGACTGGATACGATCAAGGCACGCTCTACGCATGTATGGAAGTATCACACTAAATCCCATCAATATGTACAATTAGGATGGATGGATGGATGGATGGATGGACGGATGGATAGATAGATGATAGACAGGCAGGCCTAGGTGTTTTTCAAAAGGGTTATTTTTCCTTTCCTCCCTAAGAATGGCTTTAGGGTTTTTATTTCATTTTCTTCACTCTCCACTTAAATGTTAGAAGCCTCATCAAGATTCTACAACAGGGTCTGAAACATTAACATGGTTCATTTAAGAGGCTTGTACGTTCATATTCTCCTGTAATGTTTCTCAAGGCTTCATGGTTAATGCTCAATTCCTCAATATATATTTTCAACTTAGTTCTTTCTAAAGCCTTTCCTTAGATATCTGCCAACCTATTAGTAGAAGTCATAATGTGGGGAAGAGGACTCCAGAGCCTGATTACTGGTGTTAAGTGATTTTAACTTCTTTAATTTATAAGCTTCTAAAATGTTTACTATTTCAGGCATACATGGATTTTATAGTAACATACTTTTAAATAAAGTTTTATTTACATCTTCTCAAAAGACAGAAGTTTTCTTTAAAGAGAAATTTTCACCTATAAGAAAAACACTGAGATTTAAGGATGGCTCCATGGAATTCAATCACTCTACTATACACCTACATCTTGCCTGAGTTTTCCACAAATTAATTCAAATTCTATCCATTTCAGTCACCAAACCCTTCAGAGCAGAGTCACGTTTCACACAGCATTTTATTTAATATCTGAACTATCAGTATCACCGTACTATAGATAATAACAATATTAAGACAGATCAGAGCTTCAGTTGGAGGCAGGAAAATATAACGAAGACTTCATTTCTTTCTTATCTTTCTATTAATCAACTGGCTTGAGGAAGTGGTGTTATTAACTGATTCCCTAGAGAAGTGGCCTTCAAAAGCCATCAGATACTGACCTTCCAGCTGTTGAATGGCTTGGGCTGACTGAACTGCCTGTTCATTCTTATCTTGGAGAAGTCTTGCATTTTCATCCTTAAGAGCATCACAGGCAGACTGCAGCTCTTGTTCAGCCTTCTGGAGACTCAAAATGTGACAGGTCTTCTCTTCCATTTCTGATTTGTGCTTCTGCTCCAAAGCACTGTATCGAGTCTCCAGCTCAGCCTGTGCTTGGCGTGCTTGCTCAAACTGTCCCAAAAGGTGATTCATCTCTTCCTGAAGGTTATGGAAGGATAATTTTCTTTCTGCTACGTCAAGTTCCATCTTTTCTATCAGTGTCTTAGATTCCTGTCTTTCCATTTCTATAGTATTCTTTAAAGTATTATGCTCAACTTCCATCTGCTGTAGCTGCTGAGAGAGACTCTAAGAAAAAAAAAAGGAAAAAAACTTCACAAGCTATAAATATAGCACCTGAAACTAAATCTACTATTAAATAAGACCCTGTATTTTTGCCTCTAGACCTATTTTTACAGTTTGTACTCAGATATATTTACTTGGGTCATTACCTTTAAGTTTCTCTTGTTACCATTAGAAAATAAATTTCATATGGGAAAAGGCTGTTTTATTTTTATTGTACTGATCTACAGGACTTAATACAGTATTATGGCACAGACTGGAGCTCAATAAGTGCTGAATAAATGAATGAAGGAATGAATCTAGTCCTTGCCTTCAAGGAAATGAGTTCAAGCACACTGAAACAGGTGAGTATAATATAAAAGGATAGAGAAGAAAGTTGTTAGAATGGCCTTCTTAGAAGAGCACCACCAAGTCCAAGATTTAAATAATGAGTAACTAGCCAAACAAGTAGGCACTACAGAGTACTTCAACATTAGAAATGCATAAAGTAAGGAAAAAAAGCATAGTTACCTTTATAACTATGGAGTTAATAGGAGGGTAGAGCTGTGGTAGGAAAAGGCAGGAAATAAGGCTAGAAAAATAATCATGTGCCCATCATCAGGACCCTTATATACCATATCATTAAGGGACAGGGATTTTGCTATTTTAAGTAATGAAGAAGCTTTGGTTTTCAGAGACATTCCTCTGACTGCCAAAGAGAGGATATACTGGAGAATGGAAGGCGAACAGAGGCAGAGAAAAAGCTGTTAGGAAATACTCTCTATACACAAAGGTTCCTCAGCCAGAACTGTAGTACTGATATCACTGATAAAGAGGAGAGCAGATTCATGAATTAGTTAAGAGGAAAAAATCAGCAGAAATTGATAATTCATTAGCTGTAGGAGTTAAAGAATATGGAGGAGATAAGAAAGCATAACAAGTTCTATTGTTTACAGTGAACAGTTCATTCAGAAAAACATGTAAAAATAATAGATTTTCTGTGTTTTTAATATATTTTTATTTTAACAGACGAATACTAATTGTACATAGTTATGGGATGCAGTGTAATAGTTCACTCACCCTAGGCTCTGGTAACCACTACTCTGTTCTCTACCCCTTTGAGATCAACTTTTTAACTTCTATATATGTTAGAACATGTGGCATTTCTATTTCTGTGCCTGACTTACTTAATACCCTCTAGATTCATCCAAGTAATTTAAAAGACAGAATTATATTCTTTTCTACAGTTAAACAACATTCCTTTGCATATATAAATATATAGCACATTTTCTTTATCATTCACCCACTGACGGACACCTAGGCTGATTCCATATCACAGCTATTCGTGAACAGAGCAGAATAAACATGAGATATATCTCCAGAATTCTGACTTCATTTTCTCTGGATATGTATCAAGTAATGAGATTGCTAAATCATATGGTAGTGCTATTTTTTATTTTGTGTGGTAAAAGTAATTGTTTTTAAGGAGAAAAGATGATGTGTTCACCTGTTGAATCTGAGGCGCTTGTAGGATGCCCACAAATCAGCAGGGAACTGGAAATATACTAAGTCCACCAGGGAGAAATTAGTGGTAATGGGCATGGAGTCTTATGTCTACCATAAGAGAGGAAGACAGAATACTGGGCTAAGGCTGGTATACTGGGGAACACTGTTAATGGGCAAGGAAAGAAGTCTATGAAGTTTGAACAAAAGAAAAGTTCCAGTGATGTAGGCAGAAGACCAAGATAATGCATGTTCTAATAGTCAAGGGAATGAAAGTTTCAAGGAATGAGTGATCAACAGCAACGAAGCCAAAAGGTCCAGCAGAGTAAGATTTAGAAAATGTTCATTAGATCTGACAGTTTGGAAGTGTTTTATGATCCTGCAGAATGATTTTAGCAGAATCACAGTAATTGTAGCTATCATACCATGCTGTGTGTACTAAACTCTATCCTAAATACTTTCCGATCCTATTTCAGGTGATCTGGTGACATGCCCATGGTATAAATACTATTACTCTTATTTTACTGACGAAAAAGCCAAAGCCTACAACATCAACATCTGAATTTTTTCATCTGTGAAATGAGAACAATAATAGTATCTGTGGTTGTGGTGAGGATTCATAATGCTACTAACTAATACACAATTTTCCAAAAGTTACATAATGTAACCCTCTGGGTAGTAACTATCTAGTAAGTGACACAACTGGGATTTGAATCTCACTTTCTGGTCACAGCCAGACAAAGGATTTGGGCCAGAGTACAGGTTTCATGAGAATAAAGGGGGAGTGTTTCTGTGCTAGAGAAAAAGCCTGCCTCAAGAAAAAGAACTGAAAACTAAGGAGAAAGAATGTGGTTGACTTTTTCCAGCAGTATCCAGCACCCAGATGAACAAAAGGAGAAAGTGTAACACCAATTGTGCATAGAGATCTGGCTACATGAACTGACAGGACAGTGACACAGGGAATCCACAGGCTGCTATCAGTGGTCCAAATGGCCAAGCATGGGCCCACACAGGACAGAGAAAAATCAAGGAAGAAGTAACAGACTGGAAGAATAAAGTGAAAAGATGAGCAGATCTCAGTGACAATGACAATGAGGGTGGTATGAGTGAGAATGACAGGATACATTATAATGGGAAGTAGGCTATTTGAATATTACCTCTAGATTCCAGGAAACACTGCATAATGAAATCACTTCAATCCAACAGAACTGACCGAAATAGACAAAGAAGACCATATATAGAGCATAAGAATAATTCAAGATGGAGGAGGAGTGAAGAGGTGAAACTCACTAGAGGAAAATAGGACATTCTAGAGAAAGTAGGACTCTAGACTTAGAATGATAAAGAAAGAAAGCAACAATAAAAATACGTAATGTAAGCTCCCTGAGGGAAGGAACTGCAATTGTTTTGCTCATCACTGTATCTCTATAACTTAAGTACAGAGTATCTGTTGAAAGAATGAATAAATGGCATCAATTCTTGAAGGCTTATCGTAAGCTTTTACACCACTGCCAGGCAAACTGAGGTAGAAATGAACAATCCCCAGGCAGACAGTACCTGGTTTCTCTGTTCAGCAGCAGTCAGCTCCTGCTGCAGCAAGTCTACCACCTGAGCACGGCCTAACAAGGCCTCTTCATGTTCTTCAAGCTTCCTCTGCAGCACCCTCAGTTTCTGAAAAGAAAATATGTAAGACACAATGTGCCAACCAATGAGCACTGTTATTTCAACATGTCATGGAGATTTGTGTACTTAAATTTTGGGATGTGGGAAATGATAAAGAGTGAGACACCAGCATGCCATGCTCCCCAATCACCAGAAAAAAAAGAATGACCAAGTGTCTTCTCCAAAGCACTGACACAACCAAGCTCAGTACAGCCAAGTCCCTGAATTAGGGAGCCTTTCTAACAATGAGAGAAAAATGACATCTACATTTTCAAAATATATGTTTTTCATATCCTGTATCTAAATAAGGTAAGTAACATGTATATCTCACCCACCAAAGAGAACATTCTCTGCAGGCAAGAACATTTCTCTTCTCCTAGATTCATGCACAGAGCAGGTTCTTGAAGAAAACACTCATTGAATAAATAAATCAATGACAGGTATAAACAATTAATATTCTACTTAACTAAGTCATATATTCTTAAACTTGGTGGTACATTTGGAAAAAGTGCTTAGAACTTGAGAGAAGTTGCACTTACAATCAAACAGATCAAACACAAAGTGTCACTAGAGTGCCTTTCAGTATCACAACACACTACACACTAAACAAAAACAAGTAACTTTGGGTTAGTAGATGGTGAACTCAAATACAATGAAGCCAATCTGCAAAACCTACTCAATGAACTTTTTAAAAAGGAATTACCTAAATTTAATCAAAATTTCATTCCTTCAAAACCAATCCTTTTCATCGCCAATTTTTTAAAAGTTTAGACTTCACTGATTTGAAGCTTCGGATCAAGTTTTTAATGCATGAAGGTAATGCAATCAGCAAACTGAAGAGAAATAAATGTCTGACTTCTACATACATTCCCCAGTTCCCAAATTAAACTAAGCTTTGGACTTCCAACAAACTGATTAGAGGAGTACAAGGCAAGATAAAGAGAATGAAAATAAATTACATGGGACCAAACAAAAGGACACCAAAAAGAAGCCAGTAAGGAGCATGTTAAAACCAAGTGGAGAGAGTGGGGAAGGAGAGCACTTGGAAAGTGGCTGTGATGTCTTGATTAAATGTGAACCAAAACGACAGTCATTCTACTAAGTTCGAGCAACACACCTGTTGCATCTCTGTTTCCACATCTGCCTGGGTTACTAACTGAAGAAGCTCATCTTCATGAAGACGAACTTGTGTCTCAAAGCGGGCATCTTTCTCCCGGACCACCTGCTGCATGGAACTCAACTGAAGACACACACCAGAGAAACTAGACAAGTTACACTCCCCAAATGGTTTGCAGCAAAGCTTACAGCTACTCTCCAGAAATAGACACAAAGAACTGACAACCAGTAAGGTTTTCTTTAATCCTATTTTGAATATCAAGGATGAAAATGCTGGAAGAGAGAGGCCCACCAGTAAGGCAAATTTCAAATGTGAGAGCAGGCCTATTATCAAATTTAGGAGTCAGCTGAAATATAAATTTCAATTAGCAATTATATTTTTATGAGGACAAAAGTGGTTTTAAGTACAAAAGAAAGATATCTTTCAAAAGTTCTAAAAAGATTAGAATAGTAAAAATACAGAGGAAAGTTAGATTTCTGTTAAGCGCTGGGTATTTATTTCAATATCATGCTCATAGTTAAAAATTTTCAATGACATTCTCCTTCTTCAAAGTGAAAATTCTTTTATTTAGGATACCTTACAACCAAATCCACACCACCTCCCCGGATAGCTATTTTTAGCTGTCATTAATTGCAAGCTTCTAGCTCATGCTCATTTGTCATGGCTCCTAACAGAATGAAATGGAAATAAATGGACAGATGGTGAGATCAATGGTTTGGTTTAGTTTTTTGGTTGTGGTGCCTGCTTATTCATTTCCTGGTTGAGTATGTTGACTGACCAATCTTAGCTTGCTCATTTACATCAGGCCTTTCAGTACTGCTTTTTTAGTTGTGACACCTTAATTGACCTTGGCTCTCTCTCCTGGTAAGTTAAAAAAAAAAAAATGCTTGTAATTGTTGATTATCTGAATTCTGACCACACTATGAATTTGGAAACCTGTGTTTTAAGTATGCACACACTGTAATATTTACATAACCAAACATATCTAACTTCCTTCCCCTTAAACCTACTGAATTCATTTTCTTCTCAATTTTGCTCACATACCCTTCCGTACAACTGAAATATCTTCTTCTACCTTGTGTATATGTCATCTATCCTCCTGGTTTTGCTTAAATCCCAACTTTTGCATGTAACTTTTCTTAACTGTCATACAGTAATGTCCTTCACCTCTCCAAATATTTTATGATGCTGCTCACTTTGGTAAAGCTAATAGGATAAAATCAAGGATTTTAGGATATATATTTTAACTATATTACAGCAGTAGGCCATTCATAGAAAGTATTACTAACTATAAATCATCAATACATTTGATGGATAAGATTTGCTGTGCATAAAGGTACTTCAGGGATAAAATGTGTCATTACTCAAAAGCATTCCCAAAGGAAAAGTATGAGGGTGAGCAGTTAACTATAAAATTTAGAAAAAATGGGAAGAGTTGAAGATGCCAGTCCAAACAGTCTGGTGCTGGTAGCAGAAATAAATATGAAAAGAAACATTACATACTAGTGCCATTTAACAAAAAAATCATATAATGTACACTACCTTCTCATTACATGATCACTAAATAACCTTTTAATTACAATTTATTTTCCTACTAAGATTGTATGGAAAGAATGCACCAAATTACTTGTATTTCTTTTGGTTCAGCTATCAGTCTCTTTTGCTCAGTGTGAGCCCATTCCTAAGAGACTGAATTTCTACAAGCTACCAAAATCAATTCTTTGGACCTATCAAACTACAACACAGTCATCAGTTATGCCATGGCAAATTCATCAAAGTAAGTAACACCCTTCTGAGGGATTCTAGCTCCTTGATGATATACTTCACTACCATGCTTCTAATTTGTTCTGCTACCACACCCTTCCAGTTCTACTTTAACAAACTAATTACTATACCTTCATCTTCTAAGATTTAAGAAGTTGCTGCTTCAGTTGTCTTGCCAGGTAATTACACATTAGATTTCATGATTATGTGAGTAAAGGCACCATCTGCCCTACCTGTGCAGCTTGCTCTGCCTGTGTTTGGCTGAGCTGGGATTGCAGAGTGCTAATGAGCTCCTCCTTCTCCTGGAGCTGTTGCTTCATCATTACAAACTCTTCCATCTCTGCAGAACTCTTATCAAACTGAAGATTCAGGAGAAAAAAAAAATTTAAGCAAAAGGATTAGCATCATTAATTCTTTGACCTTTCTCATCTGCCCTATGTACCTACTGTATTTCCTTCTAAACTCCAGTTGACATCAAAGGGATTTGTAACTTCTGTGGTTTTCAAAAAGAAATTATCAAAATTTGTCAGAGGAAGACAGAAGTGGTAGCATCACTATTTGCAGTTTCTCAGAATTCTCACACACAAAAAAGATGAAACAAATAGTACAACTAAATAAAAAAAGGATAATATTAATAATACAATTAGGAAGGTAGCCCTACAAACCCTAAAATACAACCACTGAAAGACAAACCACTAAAATCCACAAGACTTGTATGGCATTAGAATCCATGTAACAGAACAAGGCAGAAATAGAGCAACATCTGATGGCTCTTTGAACAGGAAAAGTCCAAAATAGCCCTCACAAAACTATCTGTTGGAATGAACAGCTGGCCAATATTTTAATAGCCCCAGGGCTTTATCATTCTTCATTAGTGGGAAAATATAAGGATGTGTCCACACTCAGAAGGACTAAAAGTGGTAAAGCAATGTAGCCCCTCTGTTCTCTCAAAATTGACTCATGAGAGCTCCCTTCTAAAACACTGACATGCATTAAAAAGGAACTTCTAGGAGTAAAATCAAAATTAAGCTGGGTAGGGGATGTAGCTCAGTGGCAGAACACTTGCTGAACATGCATAAGGCTGTGGGTCAAACTCCTTGAACTGTGCTTAGCCATAAGTGGGTAAAGATCCACCTGCTTGCTAGCACAAACTGCACCACTATTCATTGCCTTCCATTCATTCCTTTGAGCATTAGGAAGCAGAGAATATATGACTTGCCACACTTCGGTAAATATGGCAGAAGCATTCTGGAAAGTGATGCACGTTTCTTACAAGGAGTTCTTCGTGGGGAAATACTCCTGAAGCTCCAGGCTATTTGTTGGACCCAGTGCTACATACATGACCCTGTACACAAAATGCCACTCACAATATACACCCTAGAAATCAATATTCTATGCATCAGTTCTTTATAGATCTACATACTTCAAAGTGATCCGTTTTGCTGAACTCCTTGAACTGTGCTTAACTATAAGTGAGTAAAGTTCTATCTGCTTGCTAGCACAAAGTGCACCACTATTCAATGCCTTCTATTCACTCATATGAATGGAAGGCAAAACAAAACAAAACAAAACACAGAATAATTAAGCAGAACAGGGATAACAGAGACAAAAGAAAGGAAAGGTCTACACACACGCTATGTAATTCATTACCAACTAGCCATATGAAGCTACAAAAGGTTTGAAATGTTACTAATGTGAAAGTAATATTTCATTTTTAATGTTATTCAACTGTAATTAACAATTTCTCCATTAAATACAATTTTATTTCGGTATAACTATATTACACTTTACCTGTTGCACCACGTAAGGGATTACTGAGGTGCTGCACAAGTAACAAGCATACACACACCACCAATGGGCTAAGTCAGTTTGAAAGATTTTCTTCCACACCCCTATGTAACACTGTCTTTATTTAAATACTTACACAGATAAGTTAACAGTTAGTATAAGAATAAATCATAATTAGTAATTAAATTGAAACATAAACTGCTATTTTAATTATAATTGAATATTTTCCTAGTTTAATAATAAGTATAGATAGACTTTTAAGATGAAGGTAGACGTGATATATAATTAATTCCTTTTTATTTTTAAGTAGTATTATGCTGTGTGGTTACATAACAATTTGTTTAAATAATCACCAGTTGATGGACAAGTGAGTCTGCTGCAGTGTGTGGTCATTACAAGTACATTTACTCCTATTGAACAGCTTCAGTATAGACCAGTGAGACCAGAGAATGAAAGCCAAAAATCCCATATATCTGAACAGAATGCAAAAACAACAGATGTAAGTGTATTACATAAAAAAAGTTTTCCTCCCTCTGAAGGTTCAAAAAATCTTCCAAAAAACCTAACTTTCCCACAAAAATAAGGAACAGAAAAGGATCAAGATCAAATCATAGGGATGGGGATATAGCTCAGCAGCACAGCAACTGCCTGGTAAATGTGAGGTCATGAGTTTGATTCCCGGTACAAAAAAAAGAGATAACACATTGCGGGGCCTGTAATCCCAGCACTTGGGAGGCTGAGGCAGGAGGATCGCCAAAAAGACAAAAAAAAAAAAAAAAAGATCAAATCCTGTATGATGCTGATATTTAAAAAAAGAACACTGAGGGAGGGAAGGAGGAAGGGAAGGAGGGAGGGAAGAAGGGAAGGAAGGAGGGAAGGCAGGCAGGCAGACAGGTAGAAAAAGAGGGTAGAGTGCAGGATGGAGTGGTGGAAGAGGAAAGGAACTACAGACACATAGATAAATATCTACTGGGCATCAATAAAATGGTATTTGTCATTGGGCTTTAGTGATTCAGAAACTTAATGATTATGAGGTAACTCACACCCTTCCCTACCTGTGCAGCTTGTTCTGCCTGAGCCTGGGTAAGCTGGGCTTGCAAACTGCTAATTAGTTTCTCCTTCTCCTGGAGCTCATGTTTTATCTTTTCTACTTCCAATTCTTCTTCTGTAAAACTCTTGCCATGCTGAAAGTGCAACAGATAAAGTCACTTACTTAAAAGAATTACAAGTAATATATATTTAATCTTTTGTGCTATTTGTTCTTTATATATAATCATTTAACTATAGTTTTATTGAACTCATAAAGGCAAGGGAAAAAATCTAACCAAAAGCAAGGAACCTTAGGGACTTCTGGTTTTAGTACAGGCCCCCAAGTAGCTCCTATTGGAGCTATGAGATCTTCTATTAGATCTACCCTCCACAGAAAACACCTGTAAATTCTGGACAGTATAGAAAACAGCTATCTGAAAACACTGGAAAGCCACCAAAAGCAGGAAGATATTGGCAGAATCGATATCTGGAGGAAATGGCATGAAATTTCCCATTCTGACAGCTGTCATCTAAAGTAAGAGCAGTCAGTGCCCTGCAGGACTAAACTTTCGTGGAAAACCTGCAGTCTGGCTGCCTTGAAAAATCAACAACAGAGTACAGGGAATTATAGCTGCAGTTAAGTGAGAAGAAAACTTCACTAAAGGGCCACTGAGGGAAATCCAAACCTTTCAATAGTGTATTTTTTAAAAAGCTTTTCATTAGAACCAGATTCTACTTCCCTATTTTGTTGCTGCTGTTGTTTTGAGATAGGATCTCACTATGTGGCTGAGGCTGGCCTTGAGCTCACTACATAGCCCTGGCTGCCTCAAAGTCGTGGTAATCCTCTTGTCTCAGCCTTCCAAATGCCGGGATTACAGGCATGTGCCACCACACTGGGTTCTGTCTTCCTACTGAATCCCCAAATTTACTTCTGCTTACTGGAAGTACAAGAATGATTTTCCATTTTCTTTCAAATAATACTTAATGAAGCAACAAAGGACGGCTATCATCTCTTCAACTGTACTTTCTGCAGAATACCTAGCTCTGCAGTGAGTATATAATAGTAATAAGGTTGCTAAGACTGTTGGAACTGATTGGGACTTCTACAAATCATTTATTTAATGAAGGAAATGAGGCTGTAAGGTGTTCTAAGTTTCAGAGTTAAAAATTAAATTAAAAAGCAGAATATAAAGTGGATAATTTAAAAGTCTAACAGCATAGCTGAGGAGAAGTTTGAAGAAACAAACACCATAGATAGAGAGAGGTCGGTACTACTACTGCCAGGGGAAGGGAACTGTCAGTGGAAAAACCAAAGAGTAAGAAAAGACTCCAAATGAAGAATTTCTTTGAGAAGATTAACAAAATCTTTTCAAATAAATTTGAGATATTAAATAAGGTTACTGATTCAGGAAAAGTAGTGCTCTCTGAGCATCAGCCTCTGAACAAAAGACTACTAAGATGCTGGGGAGCTACCCAGTGCCTCTATGGTTGTGCCTAGAGCACCCATTAACATCTTTTTTCCCCAAGAACTGAGAACACTGAGGAAATAATACAGTAAGCCAAAATGAAAAACAGAGAAATTAAAAAAATAAGACTGCTTAATCTTAACCGGGGTGAAGTCTAGGCTAACCACGCTGTGCATACGTGACATACCTGCCTCCATATAACCTCCAAACTCTCCTCAAAACTAAGGTCTTGTTTTCTACATAGCTCTCTGAATGTGACCATCTGGGTTCAATCATAAAGGAAATAGCATGAAAATGAGTCAGGCGATAGTGCTCTATTTCTCAAAAGGCAACTTTTCTCAGTCCTCGGTATCTCCAACTGTAAACTACTTTGTTGGTGACAGTCATAAACCTAAACAGCCGCCCTTATGGGGAGTTCCAGGTAATCTGGCCGATTCAGCCCACAATCCACGGAATGTTACTCTACCACTATGTGACCATTTGAGACCACAGACTTCTCCGTTTTAAGTCGCTGAGTTAATGGACCTCAAAGTAGAAATGTTAAAGTTCTAACCAATCTTCAAAGTCCTCCAAAATGTATGTGTCTCTTCTCTCTAAAAGTACAGTACTTACTTCTCCCAGTTAGCCTTTTTCAATTCTCTAAAGTCTAAGTCACACTGGTATTTCATACTCACACTTTCTGTAGGCTTTTTATACTCCCTGTGGGTAGAGACAGGAAAACCAAACTACAAGTTTACTAAGAAAGGACAGAATTCAGTGCTATCCTTTACCCCTACACATGCCCGGGGCTAGTGAAGAACTTTCTTGACTCAGAAAAGACATATCATAACCTGTCCCCAGACCTTGGAGAATGACTCCTCCGATTCAGGTTCTGTAGGCAGAGCAGTCCCTCCTTGAGCCTTCATTTCTTCAATGTGTTTATTCAAAGAAGTTAATTTGGCCTTTGCATGAAGTTTTATTTTTTTTATTTTGTTATCAGCAGCTTTTCTTTCTTCCTACAGAGAACAGTGATGATAAATACATAAATATTTTTTCAGCATTGTTCAGCACATAACCAAAGTTACTTTCAGTAAGCGCCATGCTATAGTAGTAAGGAAGTAAGAATCAGGTTCTCTAATAAATTAAGAGGAAAATCTAGGTGAACAGTGCATCTGTCCTTTATCAAATACTCTGCAAGAAAAGACAACCATTAATACCTGTAAAACTTCATCTTTTTGCTGTAGCTCAACATCCTTCTGTCTAATAATATCTTTTAGTTCCACCACCAACTTCTCTGTATAAGCCAGGCGCTCCGCAACATCCTCTTGCGTTGTATTATGAAGTTCCATGTCTGATCCCTGGGCTAATTCCTAGTATTCAGAAAAAGTTCCCAAAGTATCAGGAAAAGAAAAGGTATTAGTTTCCAAGTAGGAATTTCTTCATTTCAACAACTTTTGCCCAACTCATTAGTTTTTTGTTTTTTGTTTTTTGTTTTTTGTCCTGTTCAGAGAGGGTCTCGCTATGTAGTACAGGCTGGCCTTGAGCTCACTTTGTAGCCCAGGCTGGTCTCGAACTCACAACAGTCCTCCTGCCTCAGCCTCCTAAGCGCTGGGATTACAGGCGTGCGCCACCATGTCCAGCCTGAACTCATTTACTTTAAAACTTAAGACTCTTTCTAACTGATCCAACAGCAGTAATCATAGTCATTACAATGCAATGAGTATTTTATCTCATTTAAGGTTTTATTACTCTAAGTTTACCAGAGAAAAATAAAGGGAAGTAAAGATCACAAACTAATAAGTGAAAGAGAGTTAGTGGAATAAAACTCTGGTAACCACTAGGCATTACTGCTTGTCTTTTTAGAAAAGAGATTTCTTTTGATTCCTTATGTGATCCTTAAGAAAAATGCAATACAAACTATAAAAAAAGTGGTAGACAATTTATAAAAGCAAGTAGATATTCTCAAACTCAAGCAGTGCTTCAGTACACACACACACACACACACACACACACACACACACACACACGTCATTTAAACCCTCCTATTGGAATTGAAGGAGTTAAAACAATAGGCCTCGGAGGACAAAAGGAGAAAATCTTCCAAGTATCACCCAGGACTCAGTTCCCATCTCTGTGGCCGCTGGACAAAAAAATTACAGAAGGATTATTTATGAAGTTGTCCTATTTTTCTTAATCCTCACTTGCACTTTGCGCTAGAGAGGCTGCTCACATCTTTTTAAAATTCTTTTCCTCAGAAGAGCACAGAATGCATGTTTCATCAGTTTAAATCAGAACAGAGCTACTCACAGGGCTTAAGGGATCTGTCATACTTTGATCAGTGTCATCTCCTGATAATTCATGCAAAACAACATTTGCTAATCCTGATAATCGGCTAAGCATTTCTGTGGGAAAAGAGGAAAAGAAAGGAAGAATCAGCAAAGCGGACCCAGGCTGCTCCCTCTACAGGTAACCACATCATCTGTGAGTAAAACGAAACTGCAGGTGACAGACACTAAATACAGTGCGCAGCAAAGGCTTTTGAGTGGATATGGTGCAGTCAGACACTGTTATTTTCCCTGACAACAGCAGAGACATTATAATCAGCATTGCTAAGACTATTTTTAAAAATAAAACAATTATATAATTCTTAAAATAAGAACATAATTTAACATTTTCAAGGTTACCTTTAATATCCTTTCTTTCATTATAATATCATTTATAAATATATATTTCTTATTCTTCCTTCTTTTGTCAGACTGCTATTCCCTGCTGCTTTTACACATAAACCCCATGATTCAGCAAGGTTTTCTTTTTATACGTCCTCTAAAACCCATTACTTTCCTGATAAACCATGTGATTTGCTAAAAATTAAATATAAAAATTAAATAATAATAAATATAAAAATGTATAGCATTAAGTGAGTGTATCAGAAAAGAAGGACCACAATCAGTAACCCGTTCTCCTTCTGTAGGAAATTAAAAAAAAAAAACAAAAAACAAATTAAAACAAACATAAGTGAAAAAAGGAAACAATAAAATTGAAAACAGAAAAATAGAGAAAAATCAATAAAACTGAAAGCTTGTTCTTTGAAAAAATCAATAAAGATGATAAAGCTCCAGTCAGTCTGACCATGAAAAAAACAGAAGACTCAAATTACTGACATCATAACTGAACACGGGAACATCAATACTGATCTAACAACATATATTCAAAAAAGTAGGGAAACACTTCAAATAACCCTATGTTCATAAATTCATCAAAGTGGATGAAATGGGTCAGTTCCTTCAAAGATACAAGCCACTTAAAATTCAAGAAAAAAAAAGAGACCTTATATGAGTGCATGGGTGCATGTGTGTGTGTATATAAACAGACATCATACAAAAAGACATGAAATTAAGTGTATATGTTATTAAAAACTTTCTAAAAACTAAAAAAATCAGGTCAAGATGGTTCCACTAGTTGCAACAAACATTGTTTAAAAAATGGTATCAATTTTATATACACTATTCCAGAAATTAAATGGAGTACTTCGCTGGTATTTTTTTATGAAAACAGCACTACCCCAATACTAAAAGCAGACAGATAATTACAAGATAACTGTAGACCAATATTCTTCACAATCATACCCAACAAAATACTTCAAATCCTCAACAAAAGATTTTCTAATATTAGATTTAGAAAGAGCCACATATCACCACCAAGTGGAGTTCAAGAATGTAAAATGGGTTCAATAGATGATAATCAACGTATGATAATAAATCAATGTAATTCACAGTACTAATAGATTGAGTAAGGAAAACTACATCATATCAATATATTCAAAAAGCATTTGATAAATTTCATAATAAAAACTCTCAGGAAACTAAGAATAGAAGAAAATTACTTTAACCTAATAAAAAGCAGCAATAAAAATTCTACCACCAATATCACTTTTAATGGTGACAGACTAAATGCCGTCACTATAAGATCAGGAAAAGGAAAGGACGTCATCTCTTAACTTCGATTCAATACCATACTGGAAAGTCCTAGGAAGTACAACAGGTAAGAAAAATAAAGTCATACAAATTGGAAATAAAGAAATTGTCTCAATGAGTAAAAGACGTGAATGCCTCCAAAATTTTCCTACTAAAAAAAGCTATAAATGAGCTCCAAGTGAGTTTAGCAAGGGTGCAAGATACAACATGAATGTGTAAAAATCAATGTCATTATTAATACAAGCACTTTATAAGCAGAATTTGAAATTAATACAATAACATTTAAAATAGCACTGGAGAAAAAGAGAATGACTTGGGTAGATATTTGAGAAAATATGAGAATTGATAATGATGAAAACTATTTAAAAACTGAGGAAGGAAATAAAAGTTTAGATGTAGAAATAAATGTATAAATTGATAACCTTGTTATCACTTGTCCCTATTTTGATCTCTAAAACTAGTATAATCCCAATCTAAATCCCAACAAGTTTTACTAAAGTTTAGTTTGACTAGTTTGAACTAAACAGCATCTAAAATTTAGATGAAAAGGCAAGGAAAGCAGAACTTATTATAAAAACACAATTACAAGACAGTGTAGCATTGGTGAAAATACAGACAGCTCAGTGGAACAGAATTCAGAGCCTAGAAACAGACCAACATAAACAGAATCAACTGATTTTTTTTACAAAGATACAAATTGCAATTTGGTTGAGAAAAACAATCTTTTCAACTAATGCCGGTAAAACAACTGGATAGCTACAAAAAAGTAAACCTTGATGCATAACTCATACTTTATTTTTAAAAATACATCACATAGATCAGAGATCTAAATTTATATTGTCAAACTTTAAAATTTCTAAGGAGAAAATCTGATCTTGGATTTGACAGTAAGTTTTTAAGGACAACAAGGCACAATACATAATGGAAAAACTTGATAAATAGTAACTTATCAAAAGTTTACACTTTTGCCAGGCGAGGTGGCATGCACCTGTAATCCCAACACTTGGGAGGCTGAGGCAGAAGGATTGCTGTGAATCTGAGACTAGCTTGGGCTACAAAGTGAGTTCAAGGCCAGCCTGAATCGCAGAGCGAGACCCTGTCTCAAAAAGACCAAAAAGAAGAAAAAAGTATACACTTCTGCTCTGTGAAGACAATGTTAAGAGAATGAAAAGACAAACTACAGATTCAGAGAAAATATTTGCAAATAACATCCAGTAAAGAACTTCTATCCACACCATTTGAAACAAAATTTTCTTAAAACTCAACAAGAAGAAAGTAAACAACCTAAAAAGAAATGTGCAATAGATCTAGACAGACACTTCACTAAAAAAGATACAGAGATGATAAATAAGTCTATGAAAACATTCTTAACCTCATTTGTGTAGGAAAATATTTGTTAGAAACCCAATGAAATACTACCACATATCAGTTAGAATTGTTAAAATAATTCTTTTTCAAATGCTAGCAGGGATGTGGAGCAATAGGGAACTTTTCTTCAGTGCAGATGAAAATACAAAATGGTAGTGCTCCTTTGGAAAACAGTTTGGTAATGTCTTTAAAAGTTGAACATATATTTATTAACCCTACTCTTGGGTATCTAATCATTCAGTGAGATGAAAACTCCCTTATACAGAAACCTGTAAGTACATATTTATAGTAGGTTTACTCCTATTACAAAACTGAAAACAAGGGGCTGGGGATTTAGCTCAGCAGCACAGCGCCTGCCTGGCAAGCGCAAGGTTGTGAGTTCGATTCCCGGTACTGGAAAACAAACAAACAAACAAACAAAACAAAACCTGAAAACAACTAAAACGTTCAGCAAGCAAATGAATAATTATAGTGGTACATCCAAACAGAATATGCTTTAGCAATAAAAAGGAATGAGCTATTCATTCACATAGCACAACATAAATAAATCTAAAATGTCTTCTGCTAAATGGAAAAAGCTAAATGTGGAAAGCCACATATAAATGATTCTATTTATATAACATTATAAAAAGCCCAAAAATAGACCCTATATACAAATACAGTTGTCAGGGTTTGAAGGAAGAGGGTGTAGTTGTCAATAAAAAGGCCATACAGAGGAGTAGGGGAGGTAGAGATATAGATCAGTAATAGAATGCATATTTAGCATGTGCAAGGCCCAGGATTCAATCTCTAACATGAGAAGTAAAAAGAAAAAAAAAGGCCACACATGGTATTGTTTAGGGTAAAAGTTCTATTCTGTGTGATCTTGTGATATGGATTCATAACCACATTCATCTGCCAAAGCTCACAGAACTATACAATATATATACATACATATTGCAATACACACATACACATTCCAACCAGATGTCAAAGGTCCTCAGGATGAAAGGTACAATGGGATATATTAATCCAACTACATTCTACATGTATAACATAAATCTCACTGAAGAATATGGAGAAAATGGAGGTAACGTAAGAAATGTTGGGAAATGGTAATTTAATTATGTACTATTTAGCCAACAGCTAAAAGAAGGGACATAAATATTGTATGCTAGTTTACCAATTTTTTCTCACAGTGGTATGGGTTAACAATTTTGAAACTGCCGCATGTATATATCAGGGCTGAATAAGTAATAAAATTGCAGATAATGAGATCTAGTTTTCTCATTATCAGTGAAATAAGTTACAAGTAAGCAAGGAAAAAAGATAACTCATGTTTCTTTGAATATACATCAATAAATATAAAAATATATGTACTACACATAATAGGTTTATCTATCTACCTATAGACAGACAGATACATATATATCCTAGTTTTACACACTGACAAGTTCTAGAAACAGTAATATCTCAGTGGTCATGAGTACATATAGCAACCACAGATGTTGATTTCTGAATACCAATCTCCAGAAAAAAGAACCAGGGCTCCTTCAAGAAATGCCTGAGTAGAGAACAGGGATATAGCTCAGTGGCACAAGTGCCTGCCTGGCAAGTACAAGGTCCTGCGTTCAACTCCCAACACCAAAAAAAAAAAGAGACGCCTAACTATTCAGAGTTGTGGCGGGGAGGATACAAGATGGAGTATAGCCTGGACTTAGTGACTGTTACAAGTGGATCTGGAATGTGTTGAAGGTTTAATCTCCAGCCAGTGGTGCTATTGGGAGGTGATGAAAACTTTAAGAGGTGAGGCCTAGTTGAAAGAAGCAGGTCATGAGAGGTGCTGTGCCTTTGAACGGTACATTTTGTCCTTTGGCTCTTCCTCGTTGTCCCCCTTCCTCCCTCCCGACCACTGTAAGGTAAGCATGTGAGGGAGCTCTTCCACATGCTCCTCTCCATGATGTTCTGCCTCTTCGTGGGCACAGAAACAATACAGCCAGGTGACTATGGCCTAAAACATCTGCAACTCTGAGCCAAAATAAACCTTCCTCCTCTAAGTGCTCCACCCCATGTATTTTAAC